GGTTAGCGGTGCGCGACTGCTCTTCTGAATAAAAGAAAACTATGTAACACAGTTGTTTACACTTGAATTAAAAATATTTGACCAAAGAAAAACCGTAGCAGGACTAGACAGAGAAAATGATTTAGATTTTTATTTCTGTCTGTATACGACCCACAGGAGACAAGRCATTAACAGCAGTCACCATTTCATTCATCTGCTTTAGCAGCTCCTTTAATTCCACAGCTGACGCTGCTAAAAATGACTGATTTTCATTTCTGGATCTCTGAGAGAAGGACTTCAATCTCCGAACTCCTAAATATCTTCTTTTTTACTTTGCGATGTCATTTATGAATGGACACTTCCTGGTATGTGGCGCAGGAAACCTATATTGTTATTTGGTGTTTTTGGGGTGGTAATTATGTAAATCACCTCTCGTGCACRAGTACCTGATACGCATTCATCAGTTTACGCAGCTCATTTACATACTTTTCCTGAAGATGGAAGAGTTTTTGTTCGTACGAACCCTTCGTACGAACAAAAGTAAGAGAAATTTAGGGTAAGAATACGAACATGTTCTTGCATGAGGCCCATTATGTTTACTTTGTTTATAACCATTTCTGGTTTGTAACACATTTTTTAGTAATATGGGCATTCACATTTAATAAAAACTTATTTGTTTTTGTACGAGTCTTTGACTGTCAATCGTCAAAAATCTGACCTTCCCAATATCACTTGTGTGTGTCAAACTCCTGTCCTCGAGGGCCGCTATCCTGCATGTTTTAGAGGTTTTCTTGCTCCAACACACCTGATTTTGATCGCTGGGTGATTAACAGGCTTCTGCCCAATTTGAAGAGTTAATTCAATCACTGAATCAGGTGTGTTGGAGCTGGAAAACCTCTAAAACATGCAGGATAGCGGCTCTCGAGGACTGGAGTTTGACAGTCAGGTTGTGTAGATCAGTGTTTTTAAAGTAGGGGCCACCAGGGGGCGCATCAGAAAGCTGGAGGGAATAAAATAAGAAAAATGTGCAAAAAAACATCATCAATATTTTAAATAATTATCAAAACAATCTGTTTTTCAATTATAATTTTAAATTATAATTAATAATAATATATTGAAATGTTATTTAAGAGAGAGGGGCCACGGCATGAAAATGTTTGCGAACCACTAGTGTAGATTACAGCCAACCACTCATTAATAAGACATCAACAGTGTCACTAGTCATAATTTCAACAGAAATGTGCTGAAACTGATCCGTCGCATTACAAATATACGTTTGGTTGGGGTTAAGTTTAAAACGTTAATGTCTGACTAATAAACAAGTGACAGAACACATTTGTGGTATTACAAAACGATGAGTAGCTGATGTTCTTCTTGTTCCTGGCTGTTGATCGTGACATAGGCTGTTTTTATCTGCACGTGGAGCGAGTGACTGATACCTGATCGCTCAGGCAGATTTTACTGTCAGGTTTAAACACTCATACTTAGAGCTGTCCACTCGTGATCAGCCCAGCCATGACGAGCCTAGTGTCTCAATTACTCTGAAGGTTTTAATAGTGTTTGCACAGCATCACACTTTCTATTTACAAATGTGTGAAAATCTTCACATTGTGTATGACGGTTTATTTTGATTTAAAGTAAATAGCACCTTGATGGTCTTTTTTTCCCCCAACAGTGGTGTTTTAGTACCAGGTGGGTTTGGTGTACGAGGGACCGAAGGGAAGATGCTGGCTATTAGCTGGGCGAGGAAACACAATAAACCATTCCTGGGTAAGATGCTTCTAATTTGTTTTTATCAAGATTTTGCTGTCTGTTACATCATTTTGTAAATCTACAAGCAGGTCTAATATCAGCTGTAGCAAAACTTTGTAAAGTTTGCAGCTGACTCATTACTGTGTAAGTATATGTAGATTAACACCTGCTTAAAAATATTTTATACAACTAAGTAAATATAGCTGTGCTGTTTATGTTCAGTGAGTCTTTATAATTATTTTTCTAAAAATGCTTAAATCTTGCTGGTCTTGTTTTATGCAGGGGTGTGTTTGGGCATGCAGCTGGCAGTGTGTGAATTTGCTCGCAATGTTCTTGGATGGCTGGGTGAGTAGCTGTGTGCCGTAACTGGATACATTTAAAAATCTCAAAACAAACATAGAACTGTAGTGTGGAAGCAGAGTCAGGCTCAGATCACTTTGGCTTCTCGTTCACAGACGCCAACTCCACAGAATTTGATCCAGAAACCAAACACCCTGTGGTAGGTTATCGTTTTCCCCCTCTGGCTGTGCTTGTATTTCATTTCGTCAGCACTGAGGCTCACCATCCTATTTGATCTTGACAGGTGATTGACATGCCAGAGCACAACCCCGGGAACATGGGAGGAACTATGAGGTTGGGAAAGAGGCGGACCATTTTCAAATCCAATACCAGTGTGCTGAGTATGTATTCTCCTCAAATAAAAATATTTTTTTATCTTTCTTTACAACAACTGAGTGTCATGTCAAATGTTTTATTGTTGCAGGGAAACTTTATGGAGATGCTGAATATGTTGAAGAGAGACACAGACACAGGTTTGAGGTAGACCTAAAACAAGTTGTTGAAGCTTTTTTATCGGAGAACACAAATTGTTTTATTTGTACAAACTTTAATGTTCAATAGGGGTGTAAGAAAATATCGATACACTGAAATATCGCAATATTTCATTTCCCGATACTGTATCGA